TTCAAGCTTTCAAAATCAAGAGTCAACAACGACAGGCCACCGGAAATCAAGATTTCTCTCCAGAGCCCAGAATAACATATGTTGCCCATACATTTTAGGCATACCTAAGAGCATGACATCCATATCATCGCATATATGCATATCTTTGCAGGTTTTACCCAAGAGCCAATTTCAACTTCGCAACGAAGGATATTGGACTCCAGACAACGCAAGTTCAACTTCACGACGAAGGGACCGCTGGTTGTCAACAAACATTTCTCAAATTCAGAGCCAATTTTTACTTCACAACGAAGGATATTGGACTCCAGACAACGCAAGTTCAACTTCACGACGAAGGGACCGCTGGTTGTCAACAAACATTTCTCAAATTCAGAGCCAATTTCTACTTCACAACGAAGGATATTGGACTCCATACAACGCAAGTTCAACTTCACGACGAAGGGACCGCTGGTTGTCAACAAACATTTCTCAAATTCAGAGCCAATTTCAACTTCACAACGAAGGATATTGGACTCCAGACAACGCAAGTTCAACTTCACGACGAAGGGACCGCTGGTTGTCAACAAACATTTCTCAATTTCAGAGCCAATTTCCACTTCACAACGAAGGATATTGGACTCCAGACAACGCAAGTTCAACTTCACGACGAAGGGACCGCTGGTTGTCAACAAACATTTCTCAATTTCAGAGCCAATTTCCACTTCACAACGAAGGATATCGGACTCGGAACAATACTTGGATTTCAACTTCACGACGAAGGATATTCAAGTCAAGGCTCAACTTCACGACGAAGGGGCCATATACATATATAACTTCACAACGAAGGGCATTGTATCCCAACATATTGACTAAACCTCACGACGAGGGAGTCATTTAGTTATTTAAATCAGTTTTAGTATCGGATCTGAACTCTACGATAGAGGATATTCGATATGGACGTAATTTGTGTATTTTAATCTTTGCTATATTCTCGTTACACGATCATAAGCAAATAGGGGCAGCTGTAAACACACAATTTCGTCCTTGCTTATAACTATATATTATACAATATCTATGTGTTACATTATTTTAGTGTGCACTATGTACATTGTATAATATGCATGCATATGATATTATTTTCTTTACTTTTTACAGCAATAAAAATGGCCCAAAGCGACCCAGGCCCAACAGACTCGTGACCCAGCAAGCAAAGGTGTCCAAGAACCCTAGCAAGTTCCAGCCAACGCCGTAACTGTCCCCATACGAGAGTCTCGTGTCCCACGTCTCACCGGCATTCATCCCCGGTTATCTCGGCGCCTTGAACTCCTCAATGTCAAACAACCACCAACAAACGTAAGCACATGAGACACCAAGCAAAGCAACGTGTGTTAGTGGGATTCCAAACAACCAAACCGAGTCTTACTCGGATTCAATCTCTAAGGACAGTTTATTTCTTATACTATAAATATGTAATCAGAACCCAGTGGAAGGGGGATTTTTTTCCATACTGAATACAAGTAAAGTTATAAGCAAAATTACCAGCAAGACATAACCAAGCATTCAGATTTTTTTTCGAAGGTTTCGTGCAAATATTTCGAAAAGAAAGGTAAAAAGTTCATACCTTTTGCGTGTTTTTCTTCCTTGTCTTGTGTCTTTGTTAAGCTTTGGTTCGAAAGAAACCCAAAAAGAGCATTTTAGCCGATGAACGGAGGGGCTTGGTCGGGATCTTCTTCTGTAGATCTAGCCCCCGAGGCTCGTTTTTTATAAAAAAATATTTCGATTTTTGAAAACTAGATTTAAAAAGCTTTGGAAAACAGAGAAAAAAAACGGGTTTTGCCGCCGATGAACGGCGGCCGCCGCCGTTCAACGGCTGCGGCGAGGCGGCGTAGGGCGGTCGGTTTCTGGATTCTTGAAGAATCCGGCCGTGTTCTTATTTTCTGAAGAACACTTGGGAGCGTTCTTCAGAGAGGGGAGGAGAGCTTTTGATTGTGAGGAGAGAAATGAAACAAAAAAATATGTTTGAGTCATATATCAAACCCGTTCCAGCTCGTGCCCGACCCGATGAACCTCGAACCCGCGTGTTTTTTCAAGAAGCGAGAGATTTGCGTTTTGGTTCTCCAGTTTCAAAAACATTTAATTTGGTCCTCTGAATCGATTATTGAACCCGAAATCCTTGTAAATTGACCATTGAGTTTATTTCGTTTTCAATTTAGTCCCTACTATTATTATATACTATATTTTCATTATTATTATGTTTTATTCCTTTATTTATATATATATATATATTTTATGTATATTTTTATTTTATTTTATTATACATATATATATATACACATAATCATCGTTATTTTTATTATTTTAAGTATTATTGATAGCGTATATAAACATATATTATTTTCCTTTTATTATTATATGTATATTCTTTATATTTTTTCATTTACTTTATGTATTTATTTTTATTTATCTCTATACATAACCATCGTTAATTTTATTATTTTAAGTATTATTGATAGCGTATATAAACATATATTTTTTTCTTTTATTATTATCTGTATATTTATTTTTATTCATTTGTTTTATTTAATAATATATTTGATATTTATATATAGCTTTCGTGTTTTTTAACATCATTATCGTTTTCATTTTATTCTACTTTATATTTTTTTTTCATTATTCCTTTTTATTTTATATGTACATATTTGATTATAGTTATTTATTTATTTTAGTTTTTTATTTATTACTATTATATATATCTTTTATTTTTCCCATTGTTTATATCTTTATTATTATTACCATCATATATATTCTTTTTATATTCTATATTTTCCTCGTCTTATTTGTTTTCCATTTTACCTTAGGTGTTTTATTTGCATTCCTTATCTAATATATGTCTTGATCTTTTAAGGGTACAATTTAAGCGATCTAAGGTAAGTAATTTGGATCGTCATTTTACATTTTAATTTAAATTTACAACTTTCTTAATTAAAGACAACTGGAAATTACGTAGTACCGAAAGGGCAGTTCAAGGGTGCTAATCCTTCCTTAGCTGTAACCGACTCCCGAATCCGACATATCTTTGGTAAGACGCAGATCAGGTAAGATATAAGGTATCCGATTAACCTATTTATTTTTAACTAAATAATCGGTGGCGACTCTAACCCAATCAATCCAAGTCGAAGCCCAATTCCGGGGCCCAACCGAAAGACGGTTGCGACAAAAATCATATCTAAAATTTAATTTTTGTTTCAAACGGCGTGATACTAATATAAAATAAAAATTAAATGTTAAGTATGATCTTGAAAATTTTAAAATATAGGTACTAAAATAAATTAAAACTGATAGTTTATATATTAAATATGTAATTTACCTTAAAATTAAACATGGTTTGATAAAAATACATGAAAATCACGTTCTTTACCGACTAAATTAAGCCTGGTCTTGTCAAATATCATATCTATATTTTCTATGTCATACCAAGACATTGTCTAAAGTCTGCATTATTGCATTTAAAGTATTGGCGATAAATCAATTACTTTAGATAATGGATCCCATCCTTTCCCCCCTTTTAATGGACAATACAATCCGCTGCTTCTTTTTTGGTACGACGCTTCGCTATTTATACATGGCCAAGGATAAGATCGCGATCCGTCGTCGTTTATTTACAAATATATCGGAAAAAAATGATTTTGAGACTGATCGAAAATATGATAAAAATTATAATATTATAAGTGGAATGGAACCTAAAATATTATAATCTTTTTAATATGATTAAATTTAAGATATTAAAATATTAAAAAAATAACATTTTCCATTGATTTATCCGAATCAATTGAATTAAAGTAATTAGAAAAGTTTTGAAGATGGCGTTTGGGCAGCTATGTACATTGAATTAAAGTAAAATTGGCCAAAATGGTCCATGCAAAGTACAAAGCTATTGGGGTGTCAAATCTCGGTCGACACATTATTCAATTTCACTTGCCGATGCCACGTCCATCACCATCACGTGTCCATCCAACATCATACACGTCGAAACTTTAAAGAAAGAGTAAACTACACGTTTAGTATCTAAATTATTGGTTTTATTTTATTTTAGTACCTAAACTTTCACTTATTTCAAAATCATACCTAATGTTTAAGTTTTTTGTTTCAAGATGACGCTTATTTATTATCTTGTTGATCTTTCCTGCTTTGGACATTCGGATTTGATTTGGATACCAAGTTGTATTTGTGAATAGTTTTCTCATATTACTCTACTCGAATAAGTGATTTATCGGTGCTCTTTCAATAATTTTGATATTCTTTTTGTGTTTTGTTTGTTGATGCAGACAAATTTATTCATATTTATCTTTCTTCGAGTTTTTTTAGTTGGCGTTTCAACATTTTCCTTGTAATTCTTATATAATTTGAAGTGAGTAGCTTATTATGTCTATAATCATAGAAACAATATTGTAATTATACGTTTAATTTACCAATTATTAAATCTAATCTAATCAAATACTTCCCTATTACGTTTGGTATATATATATAAAAGTCAATATTTTTGGGGATGAATAAAAATAATCAACAAAATATCATAACACTTGTCTGAAATATGTAATTTAACAATATGACTAAACGATGAGAAAATGATTTATTTCTTCTTGGGTGATACTGATAAGAGAAGATGTAAGGTTGCTTTTAATTAGATTTAAAATTTAATATCAATTAAAATTAAGAAGAGATTTTAATTCAATAGTTATTTTCTAAAGATTCGAATTTAAATAATTGCAGAAACATAAGTGTATCGATAGATTAAAAAATTATAAATAAATATTAAAATATAATCCTCTTAAATTATTAAAACATGTAATTATTATTTATATTTATATTTACTCATTAAATTGCATCCTAATTACGAGTTCAACCGATATAACGAGTGTCGAGATAAATGAAATGGCAGCCAACCTGTAAAATAATAAATTTGTATGGAATTGCATATAAATATATAGGACGCTCTCTCTATATTTTTCCAGGTTCGGATACGAGGGAGAAGGCTCAGAAGAGTCGAGAAACAAGCTTCAAGCTGGCAATATAATCGAAATATATAAGCTAAATCTTGAGCACCAGAAAGATTCAAGAAGGAGAAAGCGTTAGATCAAGTCAAGTTCCAGGTCAAGCAGGTAATCGGTAGTTAAATTATTTTGTTTTTTGTTTACATTGCTTTGTTTCCTGGATTCGCTTTCAATTGGATTTAAACCTTTTCTGGATATGCATGATTCCTTTCCGTTTTTCCATTTTGATCCTTGATGAGATTCCGGTTTCCAACTTTGAATCATAATGATAATAAAGAAGCTCAGAATATAAACTTTTTCGTTAATTACTCTTTACTCATATTGATAATAACTGAACCGCTGGATGTTTTTGGCGGTTCATAGTTAGAAGACAATAGAAATAGTAATTACATCGTAAACAAATTGAATATAACTTCTGTTTGGTTGCTGAGAAAAAAAAGGAAAAAGACCAAAAGCGTTTTTTTTTTACTTTTTGTTTTCTTTTGAATTTTATATTCAATAGAACCGGACCATGCTTTATGTATTTTGCCAATGGCCCCAATTCTAGTATATGAATATGTTTGTACTGACTAGAAATCTTCGTTTAGTTCGACTATTTCACCCAATAAAGTCAACTTAACAAAGCCTACAGAAAACATCGGAGTTTAACTTAATTTCTTCATCCGTCTAGCCTTCGGATCTTAAAATCTACACTAATATTTTCTCTTATTCTAAGCTATTGTACCAGCCGAGCCACATCAATGCTAAATAAATTATTGTTATTTTTTTATATCTTAAGTTCGAGCATAAAAAATACAAAAAGAAGTGATTTGTTTAATATGAGAATTATTTTTAATCAAATAATATCTTATAATTATCTTATATTAATAATAATAATAATAATAAAAGTTATAGCCTCCTTTAGTAAATTGATTAAAAGATTAGTATCCCCTAGGTTGGATTCTGTGTTCCATGTGCTCCTTAGAATACAAATCCCCTGCCCCGCCTTTTTGCCCCTATCCTGACCCTTAGTCTAATATTTTGACACGTGTTCCTTTCAATAAATTATTCTAAATTTTGTTTGTTTTAATATTAAAGATTTGGTGTCTTTCTTTCTTTTCTTTATATCAAGTGGCAATTAATATTTTGAAATTTATTTTAAGTTTTAATTAAAAAACAATAATAAAAATAAATAAAAATTAAATCAAATGATTGTAATATTTTTTATAATGTGTATAAATTTTAAATATAATACATTTTGCTTATATTAATTTTATTTTATTTGATGTTAGTTATAATCTATTCTTTTTATTTTGAAGTGAATAAAAGATAATATATGTTTAAATACTCTCGATCATTTAATAATGAACGTTTGTACTATTGTATAAGCGGCGTTCGAACTAAGAATCTTAAAGAATAACAATAATTTCTTAATCACTGAGATCATTTGGTTCAAAATAATTATAATGTTATATGAAAAAAATTTAAGTTTCAATTGTATAAGTATTTAAAAAATAATAAAAAGTATTAAAAATCAAGTATAACGATAGTTGTATGACATACACAAGATAAATAAAATATCTTTAATTATAATCACATAGAAAAAATATATAAGATTTTGTTGTTATAATAGTAAAAATTTTATTTTATCTTGTACGCTATATATAAATTATAAAAAAATATTATTATTATATTTGATTTTTTTTTTTACTTTTCAATACTTGTACAATTGCAACTTTAAAATAATAGTAAAATATTATCTTGTACGCTCTTTGTTCAGATTGGGTCTTGGATTAGTTGTAATCTTTATGTCAAATTGAACAGCTCCGTTTACAGGTAATTGGCTTTAAGTCAAATAATGAACGGTTTAGATATAATCAAATCTTAATTGTTTTCCACCTACTTTTGTTAGTGGGGTATTTTTTTCATTTAATAAGTTAAGTTGATTATAAAGTAGTATATGTTTTAAATACTTTTAATTATTTGACAATCAACATTCAATCACTCTGTTGTAGTCATTGATGCTCGAATCCGTGACTTCTAACCACTGAGGTAAATTGTTGGTTAAATATCTAGTCATAATTGAACCCGAATAATCATATGCTTGTAATTGATGACCATAGGTGAATGTTACTCTTTTGCTTTCCATGTCTTAGAAGTCAACCTATTATCATTATTGCATAGGCTTGTGCTGGGATAGTTCCCTTGAACACTTACAGATTTGTAGGATGTCCTGAATTCAAATATGTTTTTCATTGAATTATTCTTCGGTTTCAATACGTGGAAGCTTTTGCATTGTGAGCGGTCCTTTACCTTTTTTTTTTTTTGGATAAATTGATTTCATTATATTCAAAGAAACACAGCGAAGTTGCTACAGAAACCGAACACCCTACATAAAAGCAGGAGCTCACTCAAGTATACCCCAAGCTGTACAAAGAGAAAAGTTAATCTCATCCGATCTATCTATACATTAATCATTAGCCTTAATTTGAACAACCTCTCTAATAGACTCAAAAACAGTATCCTCAATTCTCCCGCGATTATCAAAGATTCTTCCATTTCTCTCAATCCAAACAAAGTAAATAAGAGCATTCCATGCTATTTTTAGAATGAAGGTAATAAGAGACTTACCTTTCAAATTTCTGACAGCCCATTGCAACTCAAACTCCCAACCTCCTACTGGTCTTTGCAAATCACAAGAATCCAAGAACTTCCTCCAAATCGTGCTAGAGAAAGAGCAACCAAAGAAAAGGTGATCTCTTGTCTCGCAACATCACCACAGCATGCCAAAACGAATGAGCCTATCCCTCGTATTAAGTCTCCTCAGAATGGCCAACCAAGCAATGACATCATGCTTTGGCACTCCTTTTCCCTTTTCATAGTCATGATAGTCGACATTTTGATTAAGACTGTGTTATTGTTTAAAGCATCTGTGTTCGACGCCTTACAAAATTTGAATATAGAATAACACTCATATGGAACGCTCAGATGTCTATTAATTGTTGATAAATATAAATGCTTTTGGTATTGGCAGGTGAACCTTCGGCTGCAAATGAGTGTATTGTTGACAATTTTTGTGTTTGAATAGCATTGGTTGTTGTCATGGGATGTGGAAGCTCGAAGAGAATCAAGCGTGTCCCCGGTTATGAAGACCCAAATGTTCTTGCTGCCGAAACAATTTGTGAGTTGCAATTCTGGTTCTTCATGTAACTCGCAAATATGCCTTCTGCTGCTTGGATTTTTTTTATTTTTCTTAAAGTACACATATTTGAATATACATGTATCAAACACATACCGATATTGAACAATCATTCCGAGTCTAAAGCAACATATAGTATGCTATCAAAGTTCCCCTCTGCTTGTATTTGTCTTTCCAATATTAGTACTCATAAATCAATGTGGATTGTCAGCTTGTATTAAGCTGTTATCTAGACATGTATTAGCAAATACAGTTGACATTTAGGCATCTACAAATCGAGAACAAGTTCAAAGTTTGAAATAGCTATTCAGTTGGTCGGTCGGAGCATGAATTTTTTTTTCTCTTGTTGCAGTTACGGTTAGTGAGGTAGAGGCATTGTATGAGCTTTTTATGAAACTAAGCAATTCGATAATTGCCGATGGGCTTATTCACAAGGTATGTTTATTCAACATTTAGGATTCTCAAGTCAAGTCATAATTGGACATTAACTAATTTCTGTCATGCTTTGACAAATTCTATGCTGCTTTTTTCAATAGGAAGAGTTCCAGCTTGCCCTCTTCAGGAACAAAAATCAGAGGAATCTTTTTGCGGACAGGGTGTGTAATTTTAGCTTCCGGATTGCTCGTATTCAGTATCTAACTCTATTTTTGTGCTGAAATATATGAGTAGTTATTCATAATGATAGATCACTTGAACAAGAACATATCTTTCTTCTGCGATGTTATAGTCCGTCTTTGCTTATATCATTGCCTACGGATTTGCAGATTTTCGATTTGTTTGATATCAAACGTAATGGGGTCATTGAGTTCGGGGAGTTTGTTCGATCATTGGGTGTCTTTCACCCCAATGCACCTGTGGCTGACAAAATAGCATGTAAGGCCAATTTTCATGATTTTTTCTTCAATAATAGACATCAACAAACGATGAGCCTTTCTTCCGAAGTATGTTATAAGTTGAAACAATCCTTTTTGCAGTTGCTTTCAGGCTTTATGACCTAAAACGAACCGGCTTTATCAAGCGTGAGGAGGTTCGTATACCTACCGAGTTTCATTAACTCAAATATCTTTTACTGTCGATACTAACTACAACTTCTCATCAACTCAGTTGAAGGAAATGGTTTTGGCACTTTTGCATGAATCAGATTTAGTTATTTCAGAGGATGCTGTTGAAACAATTGTGGATAAGGTGCAAATTTATCTAACCGTTCAACTATCCGATCCATCCGTATTCGATATGGACATTCTTAATCTAGGTTTCGTCTGTGTTTTCCGCAGACATTCAGCGAGGCAGACACGAAAGGTGATGGGAGAATTGATCCAGAAGAGTGGAAAGCATTTGTATCAAAATACCCATCTCTCATAAAGATCATGACTCTCCCATATTTGAAGTAAGTAAAAACTCGATTTTAAGACTCGGTAACATGTAGCAACGTGGCAGTAGGATGAACTGTGTTGCTCCGACCCTTCATTTTTCAACACTACGACGTAGTTAATAGAGGTGAACAAAACTCGACTCGACTTAAAAAATCGATTTTTTTTAATTTTGAGTTATTCGAGTCAAATAAATTTTTCAATTCGATTTTTGAGTTCGAATTACTTGGAAAATCGAAATTTGACTAAGTATTTTGAGAGTTTTATGATTTAGTCCCTAATTTCATTATTTCTTCAATTTCTCATTCATTTTAAGTTCATTTTTCTATCAAATTTGAACCATATGCTCCTAAACTATCGTAGAAACATATGTACTTTCAATTTCTCATTTTGATAATAATTTTTTTATTTTTAATTTAGTCCCTCAATTTTTCATAATTTTTTTATTTCTCTAATTCATCCTTTATTTTAGGTATTTTTTTATTAAATTTGAACCACATGCTCTTAAATCATCGTAGAATATATATGTACTTTCAATTCTTTATTTTGATAATAACTTTTTTATTTTTCAGTTTAGTCTCTCGAATTTTTATAATCTACTTATTTCTTCAATTTATCCTTCATTTTAAGTTTTTTTATTAAATTTGAATCAGATGTTCATATATCACATTGAAAAACTTATGTAACTTATATTCTTATTTTTTTAGTAAATATGTACTCTCTTTTATTTAGTGTCTTAATTTTATATTTTACTCAATTTGATCTTCTGACTCTTTTATATTTTCGTCAATATTTTACTCTTAAAGTATTTTTTAAATATAATATTATATTTTATAAATTTATATTGTATTTAATATATTAAATAACATTATAATATGAAAAATATAATATATAAATGTATATTTTATATTTTATATGGTTAGAGAAATTAAAAAAAATAGAACAAATATTTGTTATAATTTTATAAATAATTATAATAAAATTAATATATAAACTAGAATAACTCGACTTGAATTTCATAAACTCGACTCGAAAAATTTGAAATTAAGTTTGAGTTGTAAAATATATATCTTCAATTTAAATAATTCAAAATTTTTTGATTCAATTCGATTTTCTATTAAATAGTCGTAAATGCAGTCGACGTCAGCTGTTTTGGTGCCTTTTTTGCAGGGATATAAGCCTTGCATTCCCCAGCTTCGTGGTTCGGACCGAGATCGATGATTCGGAACTCTATCTCGGCGTTAATGGAGATTAATATCGGATTTTGTCGGAATGTTTTGTGCTAATCTCAACCAATTACGAAGCTTGAGGTATGGTGAACGAAGATCAAACAGCTGTTGAATTGTTATTCAAATTCTGGGGTCGGCACTCTCTTGTCTGTACAGAGCCTTCTTATGTTTCTCCGAGTGTTCATTGCTGTTGAGCATCACAAAATTTTGTAATGAAAACAGTTTTTCTTTTCTTGTAGGTATATTGCCAATCCAATCCTCGAAATAAAAAGTCCGACAGAGCTTTTAAGAAAAACACGGAGGCTAACATGCCCAACACAGTAGCAGCCACAATCGGTAAAAATTCAAGGAAGATGGCATATAAAGTCAAAATCAAACCGTACATGTCACTTTCTTACGCACCTGCTTAGGCTCCAATAACATTTATGTCCTTAGGCAATAATAGTTACATTTATTTGATATGATACATGCGTATGAGTTTTGACATACCACTTTGATTTAACATAATATTATTTTATTTTGAAAAATAGTTTACAGAAAAAAATAATATTATTATTTTAATTTTTTTAATGTTTTAAATAGTTTATTGCCTTATTTTTTAAGTGTGACATGATTACTATTAAGATGTTTTAATTGTATACCACCATCATCACGATTATTCATTATGTTTATCATTTATCAGAACACTTAACATGAGTTAAATATTATAACTGTAATTATGAATTTGATGCTAAGTTCAAGTATTAAGCCAAAAGAATTAAAGTCTCAGATTTAAAAGTACAGTGATTAATTTTTGAATTCTCAATGAGTACATGGACTGAAAGTAGAATTACATCATACTTTTCATGTTTAAAATCAGACTTATTGGAATTAATTAAAAAAAATATTAACGACCGATAATGTATAAATGAAGATTAAATTTTAAACTTGTAAACCGGCCGAGAAAGCACCCCCGGTCGACGGTAACCATGATGATCCATAAATGAACTGTTCAACTGTAAATTTGCTTGCTTCGACCTCTGAAGTAATGACTCTATATCCGGGCCACCCATCCGTTGCCCGATCGATGCTCCCGGGCCGTAATTCATGTATTCGCCGTAATATAATGTATCCAAGGCAAATGTGTCGTTCCACTCGAGCCATCCCCTAGGGTGAATGTGGTTGCTTATGTAAGACATCATGACCAAGGTCCTGGAATACAGTTTCCACGGACGGCCTAGGTATGTTTCGAAGCTACTGCTGGTTGCGACTTGTCAACACACCTTTTCGTCCTACTAGAATTCAAACTCCTAAAGATAGGATAGAATTTTGCTAGGATTCAAAAAATAGGATAGAGTTCTACTATGATTTAAACTCCTAAAGATAGGATCCACAAGCACTATAAATAGCCATTGTAACTCACTATTGTAACACACGATTTAGACACAAAACATAGAGGAAAGCACGGGAAGATACAAAGGCAAAGCTATTGTAAAGGATTCGAAAAGGAAATAAAAGGTAGCATTTTCTTTTTTCTTTCTTTTGCATGTGCACGTTATTTTTCTTGAAATTTGGTTCGAATAACCCAAAACGTGGGTTGCGCCGATGACCAAAATGGGTGGGGTTTCGATGTTTCGAACTTAGATCTACCCCGAGGCTTATTTTTAAAAACCTATTTGATTTTCGGTTAAAGGAGTGGAAGAGTTTTTTAAAAATCTATATTAGTCCCTTTATTTATTATATGGATATTTTATTCATTTTTTATTATTCATGTTATTATTATTATATGTATATATATATATTAAATTATTTTCATTTGATTTTTTTACTATATTTTATTATTATTATTATATATATATTCTTTAATATTTTACTTATAAGTCTAATATTACTATATATATTATAATTATCTTTATCTAGTCGTATTTTTTATACTTTTAATAGTTTATTTATATACATATTATTAAATATATATTCTTAATTATTTTTATTTGATTATTTCTTTATTTATGTAATATATCTTATAACTTTATATATTTATATTATTTTTTATTATTTTCGTTTTTTTATTCATTATTATTATATTATTATTTTTTTTAAAAAAAACTTGTGTCTTTATCATTATTATTATTAAACATTATATTATATACTAACCTAGAGGACCCAATTTTTGTCTTATTTCTTACTAAAGCCCCCACTTTCGGTGAATTGGGAGGGTAACTTTTCTATTTTTAAGTATTTGATGTACATATACAACTTATTTATTTTATTAATACTTTGATATATATATATATATATATATATATATATATATATATATATATATTTCTTTTTCCTTTTTTCAAATATTACTATATATAATTATTACTTTACTATTTTTTTCTTATCTTACTTATTATTTTATTTATTTTATTTTTCCCTTGTATCTTATTTGTTTTCTTTACCTTGTTTATTCAACACATTTCTCGATTTTTTTTCAAATCAATCAAGGGTAAGTAATTAGGATCGAAACTTTACCTTTTAATTTAACTTGTTATTTTTCTTAATTAAGACAACTGGAAATTACGTAGTACCGAAAGGGCGGTTCAAGGGTGCTAATCCTTCCTTGACCGTAACCGACTCCCGAGCCCGACATATTTCTGGTAAGACGCAGATCAGGTAAGAAATAGGGTATCCGATCAACCCATTTATTTTTAAATAAATGATCGGTGGCGACTCCAATCCACATTTTTCAAGTCGAAGCCCAATTCCGGGGCCCAACCGAAAGACGGCTGCGACAGCTTGGCGACTCCACTGGGGAAACAGGTAAGTGAGTCAGGCTAAGGTAATTTCCAGTTGTCTTTTTAACGAAAATGGTAAGTTTAGATTTTAAGGTAATATTTCGATCCTTTTTACTTACTTTTGATTATTTTCGAGTAAATAGTTGGACTAATCGTTTTTTCATGATTTCAGCCTTCAAAGTTTTCTTTTTTTTCATCTAAAGGCTCTATACCCGAGCTCCGAACCCGTTTTAAGTGGGGGTGAAAGCGACGCCTTCGTGTGAATTTATTCATCGTATGGGCCTAGCAAGTAACCTTCGGGATTCATATACCTTATGCCTTCGTGTGAATTTATTCTCCGTATGGGCATAAGGGAATGTGTCCTCTCGAGTTTAACTTAGTCCACACAAGCCTGTGATGGGTTTAGGACTAAGGGTCTGGTAAGCCCAAGGGGGCACCAGCAAGGAGAACTCGGGTACTTTTTCTTAGAACCTAAACCCGGAGACTACAAGGAGTTAGGGCCCACCCCAAGACCTCATTTCAAACCCTAGGATGCCAGAATTATTTCCTGCTTTACTTTCTGTTCAAAGCATGTAAACTAGAAATTTATGCGGTTAGGACTTGTTCAAAACCAACTTACGAGATAGAGATCATGTCCGGGTAGGAATAATAAGCATGCGGGGTAGATATCATGTGGGGTAGGATTTTTCGTTTTTATTATTGTTTTGATTTATCTCACTAACTCTATTTTACTTTTGTTCTCTTTTATTTTGTTTTCATTATTTGCATCATTTAAAAGAGGTGTTGATCCACCAAAAACTTGTTTGTTAAAACATGAATAATCTGCATTAATGGACAAAGGGGTTGTAATACAAGAGATAAGAACGCAGAGGTCCGGCTATGGTCCGAAAAGGCTCAGAAAGAAAATGAGGACAATTTGCAAGACAACTATGTGTCACATTCATGGTGCCCACAATCAAGTACATCAAAAGTTAACTTTTCAAAAATGGGTTGACAAAGGTGGCAGGGGCAAGACGAGAAAAATGTTACTGACCTCGAGAGTCCATTCAAAGACAACAAGAACAAGATGGCAAGTCACTGTCGACAAATTCAAGAAACAAGCAAATGAACTTCGAATAATCCCTTTGATGGAGGATTTCAATGGAATTTCCGATTCAGCAAAGGATGAAAGCCAGAGATGAAGTCATTCGACACTTTTTGGGAACCAATATAAAAAAAACTCAACATTTTCACGGTTTATCCAGAGAGGTCGGAGCGGTTCGACAGGTTATTCAACCAGTGAAAGACGAAGGCAAATGACTAGTCAACCGGTTCCGGGCCTAGAGGATTTAGTCCGGATGTACCTTTAAATATGTTTATTGTCTCTTAAAAGATAAAACACTTTTGTCCCAATAAAGGTTATTTACAATAACATACATGTTTTTGGATCAATGCCTCGAACATTTCATGCATTTTTTCATTTTGCATATACATTTCATTTTTTAAGTATTTTCATAAACATGAAATCTCTTCATGGAGAATTCGATGAAGTGGTTTTAACCACATGACACCACATGGAAGCAAGATTGTAACATCATAAAAAAACTATCACAACGAATGAGCCCAATCAGCTGGTTGTACGACTAAACCTGCCAAGATGATCTGAGAAAAAAGTCCACATATCCTAAGGGCTACAATGTTTGAAGCTATTTGTAGTTGCCACATAGGATGCTCCAAACATTCCTCTGAGAACTATAAGGCGCTGAAGCGCAAGATCCAAAACCTGATGGATTCAGGGGCATTGACAGCCGAAGAAGGGGGCATGTCATATACCATTTGCACTTAGAGGATTGTTTTGTTTGAACACGTCACTGATATTTCATGTTTGCTTAATCTTTTAAAGGATTGAATTTATGCTACTTTCTAAAATGGAGCAATTGAACAAATTTTAATCTTTAGTTCTTCGAATATTAAATGAATTAAGGATTCTTTTAATTCTTCAATGATTATAGATTTTTGACATATGCAAGATTATACCTTTCTTACCCTATCTCAAACCCCAAAATAAAATACCTCGATTTTTTTTACCCAAAATAACTCATGACCATTACCAAAAAAACTAAATTTTGACATTACCTCCCTTTGAAATTCTTGAACATTGCATTTATCTTTTTGATACACCCATACTTTTCTTTGAGTCAATAAGATCACACCACTGCCTTTTTAGACTCAAAATTGACATTTTAACCCAAGGCATTGAGTTGTTCATCTGAACATGAGATTTATTCTAAAGACACAACTTGGGGCATCTTGCGGGGAGCTTGAACATTGAGACATCTGGGGAAAAAAAGAAGAATTCATCCGAAATAATTCTATCACGCGTTAATTACACTGTTTTCATGTGAATAGAATTAATCCTGAAAATCTATCCCCCTGGGATACCTTTTCTGTGAGGACTTCCATGTATGAAATGATGAACGGCTTTCTTTCTTTATCCCTTCACAACATGAGAAAATATATATCCCTT